GGAAACTATATTTTTTGACATCTTTATCACCTCTTTTCACTGTCAACTTTTTGTTGTGTCATTTCGTTCTTTGTGTGTTCAAGATCAAAAAGTCATCCTTATCTATCTTCACTCTTCCTGTAATGCAGTTGAAAAGCATAATCATGTAGTAAGTCCTAATTTCTGTAGTCTGTCTTCGTAACTCAGATCTCTTAGGGTAGGTGCTCATCTTGTCGCCGCTCTTTGGACTCTTTCCAGTTTGTCAATATCTTTTATAAAGTGTGGACTCCATACCACTGGACCGTACTCAAGACTTGGTCTTATGATTGCTTCAATAATCTTCTTTATCATATCTTCGTCCACATACGCGAATGCCCTCTTCATGTTGGCAATCAGTCCTAACATTTTGTGGACCTTTTCATTTATATGGTCATTTGGATTTAGGTTTCCATTTATGGTTATCCCAAGATCTTTTTCCCTGTCAGCTGTGTCTAATACTGCGTCCCCTAATTTGTATTGGAATAGTGGGCGATTTCTACTTTCTCCAAACCTGAGTACGTGGCATTTATTGGTATTGAATTCCATTTTCCATGTACAACTCCACGTGAATAAGTTCTCGATGTCACTTTGGAGGCATTGGCATGAGACATTGTCTGTTATCCTCTTTTGTATCTTTGCGTCATCTGCAAACATATTTAAATAACTACCTGGGCTTATGTTTGACTCTAAATCATTGACGAAAATAGTAAACATAATCGGCGCCAACACCGATCCTTGAGGCTTCCCTCTAATTACTGTGCTCATTTGTCTTTCATGAAGAAAGTCTTTCATCCATGCGAGTAGGTTGCCTTTCACTCCACCTAGGTGCTCTAATTTCCATAGTAGTCTTCTATGAGACACCTTATCAAAAGCCTTCTTAAAGTCTAAATACACACAATCCACCCAGCCGTCTCTTTCTTGTAATATTTCAGATACTCTATCATAAAAACAGAGGAGATTTGTTACACACGACCTTCCTTCTCTAAAATCAAATAGTTTATTTGACATCATTTCGTGTTTTTCAAGCATTTCAACCCATTGTTTTCTAATTATTCTTTCTAGCAGTTTGCATACTGCACTAGTCAATGAAACTGGTCTATAATTTAGTGGGTTTTGTTTGTCACCGCTCTTATATAAGGGTGTAACATTTGCGAGTTTCCAACTTTTTGGTAGTTTGCCTTGTCTTAGTGAATTTTGGAATATTAACAATAAAGGAGTACAGAGTTCTTCGGCACATTCCCTAAGAACCCAGTTAGAAATTTCATCTGGTCCCTCTGCTTTGGTCTTGTCTAATCCTTTTAGTAGATCTTTTATTTCGTTCTTTTTGAGGATGATATTTTCAATGTTCTTTACGTTATTACGGGTATTTGCCATATCAAAACATGGGTCCTGAACAAACACTGACTGAAATTTCTCATTTAGGATTTCGCACATTTCTTCCTCCTTAGAATATATAATGTTATTGTCTTTGATGGCAGTAATTTGATCCCTACTTTTAGTTTTACTATTTATGTAGTTAAAGAAGAGTTTTGGTTGACTTGTACATTGTTGATTATATCCTTTTCAAAGTCTAATTTCGCCTCTCTCATAGTTTGGGTATACTCATTTCTTACTACTTTATATTTTTCATATGCTGCTTGAGATCTATGCCTTCTGAATCTTTTCCAAAGAAGATACTTTTTCCCTCATTTTCTTGCATTTGTCGTTGAACCATTTTTGGCCATTTCTTGCTTCAATTTTGAATTTGGATATGAATTTTTCCACTCCTTTTCTATAGATCTCACAAAATTTTGAATACTGAACATCAAGGTTCTCATCATCCAGACGTGTTTCCCAGTTTATGCTATCAAAGAAATCTTTAAGGCTTCTATTGTCACCTCTTTTGTAATTGTACTTTTCCTTTCTTCCCTTGCTTACGATGAGTTTTTCCTGTAGCAGACAGTATTTTAGTTTAATCACTACATGGTCACTTTTTCCTAAAGGAGGACAGTACTCGATATCCTTAATATCGTCGTTATGCTTTGTAAATATTAGGTCAAGCATAGACGGCCTATCTAGCCCTCTTATCCTGGTATGATCTGTTACATTCTGGAAAAGGCAATGCTCATTTATGACATCTAGTAATTTAGCATTCCACGAATCTGATTGTGCTCTAGGATCGAAATTTTCCCAGTCGATTTTGCTATTAAAATCCCCTGTAATAAGAATTTCTGTTGAATTGGTTTCCGAAAGTTGTAGCACTTCTTCCAGGCTCTTTATTGTCTCTTGAATTAGTGTCTGGTAATTTTCTAGTGACCACGCCGATGTTTGAGGTGGCATGTATACCGTGGTTATTATTATGTTTACCCCATTTGTTTCTACCTCAATTACCTTCATTTCCACTATGGGGTCCTGATTAATTTCTAACTCCTTTATAATAATTCCTTTCTTTGTTAATATTGTGTGTGTGTGTGTGTGTGTGTGTGTGTGTATGTATATATGTATATATGTGTATATATGTGTATATGTATATATATATATATATATATATATATATATATATATATATATATATATATATATATATATATATATATATATAATATGATATGCATATATATATATATATATATATATATATATATATATATATATATATATATATATATATATATATTATATACACACACATCTATATATATATGGATAGTTTGATAGATAGATAGATATAGATATATAGATATATACAGACACAGATGTGTATGTGTGTGTGTGCAATATAATGTTTGAGTATTACTTTAGCTAAATACTTGTTATGTTGTTTATATAGACTTCTGAATCACTTTCATTAATAATATTTATACATCTTAGGAAATGGCTTTGAGTTAATATTTTCATCGCCGCTGCTTTTCGCCGAAAGCCTAAAAGATATTTGACGAATGTATGACACCGCATAATAGTTAAGCCAAAACTTTTATGGAACAGATATTTAAAAGCAAATCATTCTGACAGAGTTCTTATAGATAAGGTGCATGATGATATGGCTTAACATGCCACGGTGTGTAATAACAATTAAGTCCTTTACCCACACGTAAACAAATCACAGCAGGGTAAGTTGTCTGAAAACACCGGTTAAACGGATAATCGAGAACCGATTGAAACTCCATAGAGTGAACATCGATTACGGAGTGAAGTGTAAAAAGACTTTATTCTTATGGACACTGATCTAAATCCCGACCCAGGAGAAGATCCTGAACTAGTCCAACTTATGGACCAAGAAATTTAAACAAAGAGAACAAGAGAAGAATTAGAAAGTGATAACGAAGAAAACCCAATTTCAAAACAACCGAAAAATCAAGAAGCCGGTTGGAAAAAGCCGGAAGAACAACACCCAACAACTAGTAAGAATACAACAAATATGAAGGTAGGACAAGAAAACCCTGTAATACTTATACAATTGATAGATGATAAAACAACAACAAACTTCAACAATCCCATTAAATTAACAAAATCCTTAAATACATCTGAATTTCATAAATACATCATAGAAGATTCCCTTAGAGTACTAGGAACAGGAAAGGCTCTAAGATTTGAAATCAATGATTGGTAATTTTCTATATTACGTCCGCATGACCGATATCGACGATTTTGGTATCGTTGGATTCCTCTCACTCTATACAATGCAAATAGATAGGTTTTATTGCGCGCTAAACCCCCCGTTAGCGACAAACTTGGTCCCGATTGCGGGGGCGACGATGTCGGAGCGCCGGACGTAATATAGAAAATTACCTCACAGTGAAAATAACCTTAGTTATTCACATGACTTTCGATTGCAGGGGGCTGCGCTCCCTGCGACCCCCCCTGGGGGGGCTGCCGCCCCCCAACCCCCGCCGAGGAAAAAAACCTCCACCACGTATTCACGGTAGGATAGAGCGCACACGAACTAGATGCGGAGCCGATAACCTACAATAACCTAGGATTTTTAAGGTACTAACCTGATTTATTAATGCCGCTAATTACTAGGGAGGGTGCTCCTTTGCCGCAACATGTGAAGGAGGCAGGGTGTGTCCGGCAGGAGGTCCTAGGCCAGAGGATACAGCGACGCTGCAGCACACAGGAAGTGATGCAACCTCACATTCAGGTGCTGGCTGCCCGCACCTGCCGCAATCTTTCTCACGACGAAGGAGGCCGTGGCGGAAGCACATATCTAGCATTTTTTCTTGGCTAATGGCAATCTCGCGCAGAAAATCCGTCTCGGAGTACGAGCACCCTCCACACTCGGCCATCGCAGCGACTATGACTGACTTCTGAATGCGACGGTTATTTCGGTTAGGAATACGAATGTCGTTATTCCAGAGGAAGGGAAACTCGACTTTGAGGCCATCGGTGTAACATCGAAAAAGGCGCAAAACCCGCCGACGAGGGCGGGCCACCGTGTTTATCCTGATTATACTACAATCGTCTCTATATACAATGCTGACTATAATAAGGTTAATATGCTGATTCAGTGAGAATCTTACGAGGTAATACGCCCCCTGCTCCGACATCGACGATGATTGTGTAACGCTCTATCCTGCCGTGAATACGTGGTGGAGGTTTTGTTTCCTCGGCGGGGGTTGGGGGGCGGCAGCCCTCCCCAGGGGGGGTCCATAATAACCATGGAAAGTTATGTGAATAACCATGGAAAGTTATGTGAATAACCATGGTCTATGTGAATAACCATGGTTATTATGGAAAGTTATGTGAATAAATGGTTATGGAAAGTTATGTGAATAACCATGGTTATTATGGAAAGTTATGTGAATAACCATGGTTATTATGGAAAGTTATGTGAATAACCATGGTTATTATGGAAAGTTATGTGAATAACCATGGTTATTATGGAAGTTATGTGAATAACCATGGTTATTATGGAGTTATGTGAATAACCATGGTTATTATGGAAAGTTATGTGAATAACCATGGTTATTATGGAAAGTTATGTGAATAACCATGGTTATTATGGAAAGTTATGTGAATAACCATGGTTATTATGGAAAGTTATGTGAATAACCATGTTATTATGGAAAGTTATGTGAATAACCATGGTTATTATGGAAAGTTATGTGAATAACATGTTATTATGTTATGTGAATAACCATGGTTATTATGGAAAGTTATGTGAATAACCGTTATGTGAATAACCATGGTTATTTTCACTGTGCGTTATATTATTAGTGCTATTTAACCCGCATTTTCCCTGGAACCTTTCATGCCCTCCCCTGCTATCGGGCCAAGTTTGTCGCTAACGGGGGTTAGCGCGCAATAAAAACTATATATTTGCAATGTGGAGAGTGAGAGGAATCCAACGATACCAAAATCGTCGATATCGGTCATGCGGACGTAATATAGAAAATTACCCAATGATTTAAGTAAAATAAAACCCCTCAGAGAAATAAAAAAACTTGGAGAATGGAACATAACCTGCAAACAGCCAACCTCAAACAAAAATGCTAATTGTTCATATGGAACAATATATCCAGTAGAACCTGAGCTGAAAATTGAAAACATAAAAGAAAAAATAAGAACACTGGGTAACACAACTAATGAAATAATAGAAGTAATAAGACTAAAAAAACTAAATAAAGATAAAAATAGCCAGGAGAAATGGTATGCAACAAAATCCCTAAGAATAACTTTCAGTGGATTTCTACCAGAAAGAATAGCCATAGGACACACAAGCTACAAAGTTAGACAATATACTTTCCCAATAATAAAATGCTACAATTGTCTGAGATACGGACATGGGATTGTTACATGTAAAATAAAATGAGATGTAGCAAATGCAGTCAGCATGGACACAAAATAAGTGAATGTGAAAATAATCCATACTGCTTTTTCTGTGATGAAGAACATTTTCCAAATAACATAGAATGTAAAAAACATAGAGAAGCATAAGAAATAAATAAAGAAAATATAACACCAAATAACTTTGAAATAAAAAAGCAACTACAACAACTCAAACCGGAAAAGAAAAACAAAAATAACCAAAACCGGGAACCAGTGAACAGACAACCATCCCAGATTATCAGATCACAATCAGAAGAAGACAATAACTTAGAAAGCTATGCACAAAAGCTAACTCAACCACAAAGCCTAACCTTAGGTCAAAAAACGCCTGCAAAACCAAAAGAACAAACTCCAACAAGACCTAGATCTGGAAAAACAAACAAAAACCAAGGAAATACATCTCCTAAAAGATGTAACAAAAATTTAAGTGAAGAAAACAAAACTATAACAAACTCAGAACAAAGAGAAGTTACTGAATCCCCAACCACATGGTCATTACCTACCCCAATACAGTACAAAGAAAACAAAAAAAACAATAAAGAAGATGAAAATGATAACTTTTCATGGATAAAAGTAACCAAAAGTATTTTCAAAATAATAACAAATCTAATAAACAACTTCAACTCCGAGAAACCCTTAATGCAAAATATAATAGACATCATAAACGAAATTAGCTTAGTGCTAAAAGACATTATAGCATATTGAAATGTACAAACTAATTCTTTGGAATGCAAGATCAATACTAAATAAAAAACAGAACTAAATTATCTAACATATAAAGAAAACCCAGGAATATTAGCTATTAATGAAACATGGCTAAAAGAAAAAGATACCCTCAACATCAACAACTATACAGTCATAAGAAAAGACAGAAACAATCAAATAGGAGGAGGTCTTGCTGTATGCATTAAAAAGGATATTCAGCATAAAAAAATAAACTTAAATGACAGATACAAAGATAAAATAGAAGTACTAGGAATTAAAACAAGTTATAAAAGAAACTGGCTAAACATACTATTAATATATAATCCATGTAATGTAATAGAAGCAGAAGAACTAGAATATTATTCAGATCAGATAAGACATCCAAAATTAATAATAGGAGACTTCAACGCGCATCACCCTCTCTGGAATGAAAATACAAACCAAAGACAAACAAATACAACAGGAACAAATATAACAAAATGGCTAAGTCAAAATAATGTATTACTACTAACTCCAAGAAACCTCATAACCAGAATTGATCTAAAAACTGCAAAAGAATCCACATTAGATCTCGTATTTGGTTCACCCGCCCTAAGTCATCTACAAATAAAATCTGCATCCCACCAAATAAGTGACCATCTGCCAATAATAATAATGGACAACACATACATTGAAAACCATTTACTCAAAGAAAAAAAATGGTACTACACAAAAGAAAGATGGAAAGACTACCAGAAAGAATTAAGGGGACCGTCTGCTTTTTTTTTTCGATTTTTCGATTTATCTTGCCGATTTTGATGAAACTCACACCCTTTTATTTGGGCCCCTTCCCATTGCCTGTGGTCGATTTTTTTCGAAATCGCCGAACAGTTTTTGAATTATTGTCAAAAAAACGAAAAATGCGAAATTCGCCATTTTGAAAATGCAGCACCTGGGTCAAAGGATTCAGACTTCAGAAACGGCAAGACATTCAATTTTATTTGATTTTTGCACAGAACTACCTTATATCTACAACTTGATCGAGAGCGTTTTTTCGATTTCGACTTCAATTTTTTTTTTTGTGAATTTTTGAAGTTGGGTACTTCAAGAAAAAAAAAAAAGGTAAAAATTTTCTTACATTGACCACTTTTACAAGAAGTACAGGCAAAAACTGCGAAAACGCTCTCGATCACGTTGTAGATATTTTATTTTTCTACAAAATGAGCCATAATATGTTAATTTTGGACATATGGTGTGCCCGGAATCCTTTGACCCACCCCTAATGGTGGAGTTCCGAGATATCGGCATTTTGCGTTTCTCTATCTTTCCAAGGCTATCTTGATATCAACAAAACAAGGCATAAGATTAGTCTTCCTACACCATAATCCTCTATCATCTACCTGCATTCCGAAGTCTTGCGGACATTGCCAGCACGTAACGGTTTCTCAAATCTTACGTATAGTGCGGAGTGGTGGCAGTGATATGGGGTCTATAGGCCTACATTGACCATTTTTAAAAATTTCTCAAAAATCCAAAAAAATCATACAGCCATTCTGATTTCATGTTTGAATAGAACTATCTTTCTACTATTATATGCAGAAGCCATTTTTGAGAAGTTGACCTTACTTTTTTCTTGGTGAATATTTTCCGAAGGTGACTATTTTAACACCCTAATAGGAGATTTTGGAAACATATGTCACTTTTACAAGAACCACGTGAAAATATTGCAAATCCTCATGGCAGTATGTAATAGAACTATTATTCAGCTACAAAATGAGCCATAATACTTTAAAATCGGACCGATTATACGTGTGCTATGCGTAAAAATATGACGGACCTAAAAAACGCGATCTTATTCCTTTTTATTATGTTTACATTTTACATGACAAATCATGTACAGAATACTGGTATTTGATATAATTATCTATCATATACCTATTATTGATGCTCTAATGAGGTTTTACAACGTATAATATTTGTCGAAAGAATAACTTTTCTCCAGTCGGACGGGTACCAAACACATACTTTTCCCCACGCGACGGGGCCGTCCTGGACCGTGAAAATCGTCTTTTTAAATCTGCGGAATAACTCTACGGGGTCACATAGCCAAATTTCACTCTCAGACCCCGTGGAAAGTCGAAAAACAATTACATGGCGATGTGAAACTATGTATATAAGGTATATGAGCACATATAGATAATTTTCGTGTACCCATGACCTTTTGTTTATTTATATTGTTTATACCGTTTGTTTCTTTGTTTGTTTATTGATTGTTTTTTGTTGTTTTTTTGATTATTAGTTTGTTTTCTAATATTTCTAGTTATGAACACATTTTAACGAGATTTTAACCAAAAGTGAGTTTTAACCTAACTTAGAGCTTATTGCAGTTTGGTGGTGATGCGGACTATGGTTTGCATCCAGGAATTTTTTTTTCTAACTCGAAAAGTTATGAATAGATTTGAATAAAATTTTAACCTGAGGTTTGTCTTAGCCTAATTAATATTCCATATAATTTTGGTGGTGATCCTGAATATTTGGCAAAACTACCCCCATGGTGGGGGGGGAGGTTTGCATTTTCGAAATTTTTTGCTCATAGATCAAAGTAACTATGTATGATGAAAACATAAAGATAAGAAAATACACCATATGAAAAACATATCATGTTTAGTTATTTCTATGGAAAATTTCTTCATTGCCGTTTTTTGGACGCTTGCCGGATTTTTGAAATTATTCCGAAAAAAAGAAGGTTGGTCTCATCTTATGTGAAATTTGATAAGCTTTCAGAAAATAACCTCATATTTTTTATTATCTCTAATCATTGCGTCACAATTGCCGATTTTCAAAGGTACCATCAAAAAAATAATATTTTCGGTCGACATCAAAAATCGCTGCTACCACTAAAAATAACGGTCGAGCCTTGACATTTTCAGGGGAGAAGCGGGGGACTAGAAACTACTTGCAACTGCATTAAAGTCAATTTCGGCAAGAGGGGCGAAAATCGCCGAAAAATCAGCAGAAGGTCCCCTTAAATGAAACAAATTTAGAAGAAATATCAACCATAGAAGAAATAACAGAGCAGATAAAAAATACAGCTCTAAAATATTTAAAATTAGAAACAAGACAAATAATAGATAAACCAAATAAACCATGGTGGAACAAAGATTGTCATGAAACTATAAAAGAAAGGAATAAAGCTTTTAACAGATGGAGGAAAAAAACAACTATAGCAAACCAAATAGAATACAAAAAGCTATCAGCAAAAGCAAAAAAACAATAACTCAACAAAAAAAGAAATCATGGAACGATTTTTGTGAAACATTAAACTTCAAAAACCCACCAAAAAAGATTTGGAACTTTTTCAAAAAATTGACAGGAAAAACAATTACAACGGAATATCCAATAATAGATAATGATTTGCCACTAACAAATATCAACCAAAAACTAGAAAAATTCAAAGAAGAATATATGGAAACAGTAAACAAAATACCCAAAAAATTATTATCAAATTCACAAAAATACAACTTATTCAATATACAAAATACAAATGAACTAAGCAACGAACTAACCATGATAGAATTAAAAACAATACTAAAAAATGCTAAGAATAACAAAGCATATGGCCCAGACGAGATACCATACGAACTATATAAAAATGCACCAGATAATTTGCTGAAGGCAATTCTAAGAATAATGAATACACACTGGTCCAGGGGTGAATACCCAGCATCACAAAAAAAACGTGATAGTAAATCCAATAGTTAAACCAGGAAAAAACCCAAATGATGCAAAATCCTACAGATTCATATGTAGAATATCTTGTATCGGAAAGTTATTTGAAAGTATAATAAAAAAAGAATAACTTGGTTTCTGGAACATTATAACAAACTAGACAAAGATTTAAATGGATTCAGGCCAAACAGAAATACAATAGATGCATTACAAATACTAGATAATCATATAAACAAAGCATTCGTGGAAAAACAATATACCATAATAGCCTGTATAGATTTGGAAAAGGCTTTTGACACAGTCAACCACGAAGCACTAATAATAAAAATGGCAAAACTAGGAATAACAGGTAACCCATTAAATGGATAAATGAGCTTTTAGAAAATAGAACATTCCAAATAAAGATTGGAAATAGAACTTCAAAGAAAGGAACAACTAAATGTGGGGTACCTCAAGGTCTCCAATAAGCCCAGTACTATTCAACATAATGATAAACGATTTGAAACTAACAGGCATCGAAAAAATAATATACGCCGATGATATTACATTAATAATAAGTAAAAAAAATTTAATTGAAGCAGCAAACAAACTAGAAACAGAACTACAAAAATTAAAAGAATGGGCAAATACTGGGACTTAAAAATAAATTTCCTAAAAAGTAAACTCCTCTGTTTTACAAACAAGAAAATAAATCATTTACCAACAATTAAAATGGACAATATAGAAATAAAATATGTACAAAGCCACAAAATATTAGGCCTAACTTTAGATGCACCAAAACTAAAGTGGAAAAACCATATAAATAATATAAAAGTAGAAACATTATACAGAATAAATCTCATGAAAAAGCTAGCCTCATTCAACTGGGGAGCCAACAGAGAAACCCTGATAAAATTCTACAAAATATACATAAAACCGAAAATAGAATACGGAATAACAATATACGGTGCAGCAAAAGAAGGAGAAATTAAAAAAATAGAAATCCTCCAAAATCAAGTATTAAGACTCGCTACAGGATGCCTTAATTCAACCCCAATAATAGCCCTTCAAGCTCTAACAAATTTACCTCAATGAAAGACCGAAAAAAGAACTGGAATATATACATCTAACCAAGATCCTAAACAAACCCAATAGAATGCCAATAAACAGCAAACAATAAACTACATAAAAGAATATAACCCCAGAGAGACAAGAGATCTCTATTCCACAGAGTCACAGAAACTAATAAGATTCTGAATATTGAACTAAAAATAAATGAAGTACCAACCACTTCACCAGTACCCCCATGGTTTGATATCTCAAATTATATTCAAATAAATTTTGCTGAAGAACTTACAAAAAACACCCCTCAAGTAGTTATTCAAAAATATTATCAAGAAATGATAAACATAAACTACAAAGATTATACCAAAATATTCACCGATGGATCAAAAATAAAGGAACCAGAATCAACCTCAGCAGCAATATTTATTCAAGACAAAGAAATAACAACTATCTGGAAACTACCAGCTAATATAGAAATAACCCACGCAGAACTCTATGCAATAAAGCAAGGACTAAATTATATTATAAACAATAATCTAAACAAAACGGTAATACTAACAGATTCCCAATCATCACTACAACTTCTACAAAACCGTAAACCTCTAAATTATATACAAATCATATATGATATACAAAAGCAAATGCATACAATTGAAATTAAAAAACAAACAATAAAAATCCAATGGATTCCATCACACAAAAACATTAAGGGAAACGAAATAGCAGACTTAGCAGCAAAGAAAGGTCATGAACTAAACAACACCATGAAAGTTTCTCAAGACCCAAATTATACAATAAAAGAAATAAAATCAAAAAATTTCAAACAATGGGAATCGAATCTCAAAAGATTACTAAACTCAAAGAATTATCTCATAAAAGACAACAACAACAAAACCTTGGGTCAGAGCTAAAAACAGAAAAATGGATACATGTATCGCAAAATTATTAACCAAACATACAAGACTAAAACAACATTTATATAGAATAAAAATGGAAAACGACCCATACTGCAGATGGTGCAGAAACCAAGAGGAAACAATAGAACATATGATAATACAATGCCCAAGATTCAACTCCCATAGAATAAAACTAAAACAAGCACTTATTCAAGCAAATATTTATGACTAACATCAACCTTTTGTTAACAGGGACAGATCATCCATTACCACTGAAGTATTACATACTGAGACACACCAAGATCTTCCTACAAAGAACCAAGCTAATCAACCTAATATAAGAAACTTCAAGAACAAAAGAAGAGGATCCAGGGGATATAGACAACATAGTCTAAACCCTATAACAAGAAAGAAGAAGAAGAAGAAACGGATAATCTTTATGTTATCGGTAAAGTCTCAAAGTGTGCAACAAGCATAATAACAGTTTTACGGCACTCATTCATTACAGTTTAAGAGTAGAATAGTTGGTAGCGTACGACATGTTGGCAGAGGTGAAGAAATATCGAGCTTAAAAGTTCAAATTTAAAAGGTCAAAGCTAGCACTTCTAATGTTAGACGAAGGCCTACACTAACGCCGGTATTAATTTACTTTAGTATGAAGTAAGATACCAAATCATAAAGGTGTAGATCACTCTCCTCTCTCCTCTCTCCTCTCTCCCCTCTCCCCTCTCCCCTCTCCCCTCTCCCCTCTCCCCTCTCCCTCTCCCTCTCCCATTCCTATTCACTGTCACCATCACACTGATCCACACTTATCATCCCTCCCCACTGCTGTCTCTGCTTAAACCTTAAGTTAAAGAAAGTATCTTCAATTACAGCAAAATGTTGCGGTTTGGGAGCTTGATAAGAAACCTTAATGCAAGGAGTGGTGCTTTGTTCCCTTTGAGATGTTTCCATGTATCTGCCACAGGACCTGAGACACAGTTCCTTGAGGTAAGCAAGATACAGGTCTTTTTCAGCATTATCTTCGGTAATTGACAAAAAGATAGAAAAAAGAATAATGTCCTTTAAAAGAAATGATTCCACATGTCAACCTGTTTGCAGTGGGCTAAGAAATTAGCCCACTGCAAACAGGTTGACATGAATCTACATGACTTCCCCATTATGAGTTTGTTTAATTAATTGTATTTACACATAGATGGCTCCAAAAGTGCTTAGTCACCAAGGTGTTAGTTATTAGTCCAACCTCACTTACCTTGAAAATTCAGTTGTACATTGAAATTCAGTTATATTTCATATTGCCTTAGAACTGCTAATAACACTATGGTATTCATAATGTTAGTATTGATAATAGTAGCATCAATATTACTAGCATTAGGAAAAAATCCCCCAAAACAAAGGAAAACAGATGGTGTCAAATAGCCTACTAATTCATGCCCTGGTAATTGAGTCCTTTTGGTGCCATCTTAACCAGACTAGAAACTTTGACATGCAAGCAATATATTGTAGCTGCCTATGTGCTTTTCCATTTTCACCACACAGTTCTCTCTTTCTTATTTGTTGACCATGCAAAGTTGTTGAAGTGCCTGTTTACCACTCAGCCAATTGGCCCAAGCTAATTAATTTTTGCAGACCTAAAAGATTTATCAATCAATAACAACCTGCTTTGATAGCACAGAAATGATGTATAGCTACTGTATCATACATAACTAATGTTACATAATGCAAAACAATAGTCGTGCAACAATGAATCATTCATTTTTACACAAACTAAAAATTTAACTGCACACGTTAGGACTTACGAAAATAACTTGCCTGTACTCATAAGGTTTCCAATGTGGTGTCTGTATATAATCATTTTACAAAACAAAATTACAATGCATGTTCTTGGTGGCATTGGGTTAATATACTGAAGTGGCATATAAACAGAACATCTGTGTATTAAAAGAACTGGAGTACACATTTGTACATCATAAGAACTTATGCCCACATTGAAAAAAAAATTGCGATCATTGTAACCTTCAGTTAATGCAAAGTTCAACAAGTCCATCTTACATATACTTGGAAGGTATTGAATATACTGTATGTCCAACTATCTGAAATTGTCAAATAAAAACCAGTCTAAGCTCTATCTTCCCAGATCATATATCATGCTATTTGTTAGCCATTACCTGAGTGCTGAAGGCATGGAGATCAGAGCAATTTCTTGGTGCAGCCTTATTATTACAATCAGGATATCTTGTGTCAAGGGCAAGGGAGTCATTGAATATCAGATATAATATCAGATATACTTGATTTTAAAATTAATATCTATTTAGTTTTACACACATTTATCTCTATATGTACACACACACACACACACACACACACACACACACACACACACACACACACACCACACACACACACACACCTCTCTCTCTCTCTCTCTCTCTCTCTCTCTCTCTCTCTCTCTCTCTCTCTCTCTCTCTCTCTCTCTCTCTCTCTCTCTCTCTCTCTCTTCTCTCTCCTTTCTCTCTCTCTTTCTTCTCTCTTTCTCTCTTTCTCTTTCTTTCTTTCACTGGATACGAAATGAAAAATGATGTGAACCTAGTCAGGAAACCACTGCAAAGTGAGCTCAGATACAAAGAAGTTTCTTTGAGGTATTTATTAGAATACACATAGCTTTAGAATTAGAAGACACCATTGTCATTAGAAAAAATATAGAATCAGATTAACCTTGTAAAAGTACAAAAGGCTTGAATCACTCTCATTTACATTATTTCATATGTTATAACATTTATTTTTTATTTAAAGATTATTGCTTCTAGATAGGGTGATAGAAGAGAGGCTCGTCAAATACAGAATGATTAGAAAATTCACTAACGACAACAGAAAATTCTAGAAATGTATGTGAAGTCATGTACTGATGCATATCACTGTTGCATGCCAGGGAAGAGGTATGTCTTGTGCATTTTTCTGAACTTACCATCAGACATTTACTTTTATCATTTATCATTTGCTTATTAGCATTTGTTAGATTTGATAGTGAACTCTTTTTTTCCTCTCTCTTTTTTTTTCTTTCTTTTTTGAAAAATTAGACATCATCTCTTGGGAAGACCAGACAAATCGCATATCAGAAAATTGACGGCATTCGTAGTCCAGGGATTATATATATCCCAGGTTTCATGTCCCATAAGGCTGCTACAAAAGCAACTATGCTACATATGTTTTGCCAGGAGTATGGCTTCCCATATGTCAGGTAATGTAAGCATCTACATCCATTTCCTGTATATTGTAGCGAGCTTGTTTGAAGTGTGGAGATTGTAGCATGTGGTTTTCCTTGTGGGAAAGTATCCCAGTATGACGGATTTTTGTTATTGTTGTAGCCTTATTATAGATATTTTTTTCCAGTGTTTGAAAATTATCCTTTAAAGGATTCTGTTCATCTGCTTCTTTATTCACACCTATTCTGAATATCAATTTTTAAAAGAAATGTACACTGTATTATCCATTAGTTAATACCTGCTGAAACCAGTTTCCATCCAATACGTTTTTGTTATGCATCTGCTAGGTATGACCCTAGTGGCTTGGGCGAGACAAAGGGGGTAAAGCAGAATGAGACATCTTTAACTGTATGGTTGGAAGATGCCGCCCAAGTGCTCTCAAATTTAACAGATGGACCACAGCTAATAGTTGCTTCATCCATGGGTGGTTGGGTATGATATTGTCTGTTGTGTTCCATTCAGTTATTCTTTTTTGATTTAGTGTTCATTGACTTTGAACAGTGTTTATTTCATAATTTTCTGTACTTTACTAGTCAAAAATACACAAAAATTATGTGCACATGGTGTTTAATTTGATGTTTATTATCTAACATCCTCAGAGGCCCATAAATTATAATGAACACTCATTACCTGTGGATGATTTCAGATATCATCACTCCTAGCAGAAAGGTATCCTGAGAAGTTTGGCAGTTTGCTTATGTTAGCTCCGGCCATTAACTTTGGTAGGAAGTACATGCAGGTCCTCCTGTCTCAGTTACCACCTGGACTGGTAAAGAAATTTGAAGCAGATGAAATAGTGAAGCTTTTTGTACCTGACTACGGCGAGTTCCCGCTAAGGAAAAGCATGTTTGAAGACATGAAGAAACACGAGATAAGCATGGAGGCCGGCAGTATTCCAATACAGTGTCCAACTAGAATTATACATGGTGTAAAGGTAAGAGTACTATACAAATTTTCTCTTCTCCCACTCTCACTCTTTCTCATTTTTTTTTTTATTATAAATGTTTCTTCTCTTCTACATAACTAGTACTAATAGCTTTTGAATTCCAGGACAAGGATGTACCATACAAAGAATCCCTTCAAGTGCTTGGAGCCTTGCAAGCAAATGATGTTCAGCTGCTATATGTCAAGCACGGTGGGCACCAACTCTCAGACAGTGCCAGCCTGGAAATAATCTGTGACACTATTCTTAAAATGACAGCCCCAAAACCTAAAAAAGTATGAGTGACAGTAGTAGAGTCATAAATCTTGTTTTTTCCCCAAATGATTTACTAAATTTTATATGTTGCAGGTTGATATGATAGGCTGTGCACAATGATTTGTACACAAGTTAATGTATGTGTATATGTACAAGTATAAGTCTATATCAATGCAATTAGTAAGTAAGAGCAGCTGTTGAATTTTATATTAAGATAATTGCAGTTTAGAATGAATAGTTGCCATATTTTATTTTGTATTTTTTATAATGGCAAAGTGCTTCCTAACCAATAATGATTGTAAGTCTTTAGAGATAGATCTTCATCCTTATGCAGATGTTTGCATCCATTTATTGATTATTTAACATGAATAAGTGAAATTATTCAGATTTCATTAAATTTGTTGTGTAATTGTCTTTCATTGTTCTTACATATGCAGTCAATTAGGTGCAACCTCTAGTCTCACCCAGATGGTGATCAGTGTTTTTAATTCCATATATAAATATGGCACTTATCAGACTTTATAGTTACAAATATTTGATAACAGATGCAAGTCACTGCCAGAGTGTTCTATCATTGCCTTTACTATTTGTTATTTCTTGTGTCTAGTTATTTTTATTGTAACGTTAAATTTACCTTCATTTTGTCATAATAATGTTAGTTTTCATGTTGTCAGTGTTACTGACTGTATTGTATTTTTAGTCCTTATATGCTTTTTTAGAGTTACAGACTCAAATAATTCTTGTATAGAGCTATTTATGTATTTATGAATAATTTTATATCAAATTTCTATCAATTTATATAATTTAGAGTAAGTTAAGTGGATGAATGTGTAATTATAGAAAATAAAGATGAGAATAAATGTTTGTGTGTCATTTGCTTTATAGTAAATATAAATTTCAGTTTGGAATGGAAACAGTTATTTTACTCCATTGTAGATGAGGAAAAAGGGAAAATGGGATTGATTTATAAAAGTTGTAAATACTATAGCCACCAAACAAATGAGGATATTGAATATGAATACCTATTTTTTTACACATCCTTAGATTCTTCTTTCCCTTTACATGAAGGTTAGTAGTGCAAGAGGTATTTGTGTATTCATTAGCAGCAGAGTCTAGGTATTTGATTTTTTTCTCTCTAGAAATAATGTGCCTTCATTGCAAGTGCTTCAGACTTTAATGTTGTAATAATATTTGCTAAGAAACTCAAAACTTTAAAATCCACTAATATCATTTCAAGACTTTTACAAAGAAAAACAATTGTAGGGGAACATGCATCAAGAATAGATGTAAAGTTTAAGATGAGATCACTAATCTCAAGGGAACCACAAGCAGATGCAGGTACCTTGTGGGAGCTACGGAAATTTCAGGCCTGAAGAATCATCATCAGATTCATTAAATGTTCCTTATTATTAAGATCTTGTGCACCCTTCTAATGAATGAACCGGAAATAGGAAGCAAATTAGGATCTAGGAAAAGGAAAGTTTAAAATGAGAACTTTTCTCAAGTATGATTTTTTTTAGGTAGATTTTAATGGGGTACCTTTATTTTTCAAACTAATCCCCATTGTCTTGACCAAATGATATTTAAGATTTGCTATCTTCAAAGAGCTAGATGCATTATATTGCAGGGAAGATAAACACGTTATTCTGTGATTCCTTTATTTCTGTCAAAAGAAACCTCCATTAATTAACCTTTAACAAAAGTGGGACCGGCCCAGTCATCAGTAATGAGAGAGTTTGCAAATTGGAAAAAATCATCTTTACTCATCAGTATTTTGCTTCATTATATTTATTGAACAAATAATGTCAAATTCTTGTGTGTGTGTGTGTTTGTGTGTGTTTGTGTTTGTGTGTGTGTGTGTGTGTGTGTGTGTGTGTGTGTGTGTGTGTGTGTGTGTGTGTGTGTGTGTGTGTGTGTGTGTGTGTGTGTGTGTGTGTGTTCTTGTGTGTGTGTGTAGACTATATGTCATGGCTTTGAAGTGTGTGCTAGTATGTATGAATTCCTTGCATAAGTAAAAATCTGTGTCATTTTTGGCATGAGGAATATTCCTTTGTGTTAACTGAGATGAATTGGTAACATAGCATTTCAACCTACGTATCATAGCCCAGACCTGTCACCATTCCCAGAAATTAAAAGTTTAAAATATAAACTTTTTATTTATAATCCGTGCTATGCTCTGTACAACATACATGCAACTGTTTGTTTCATATATAGTTTCTTTACCTATCTTATGATACAAAATATATCAAAATAATTAAAGAGAAATGTACTCTCAGAGTAATGGGTTTTGAAGCTAGTGACAGGCCTGGTGTAGCCTCCTGTGTTAAGCACTGTACATGAAGTTGTCACATTTCTTTGGGTTATTTGTATTCCATATGATAGGGGATACTTTAGGACGGAAGTCGGCGAAAAGCAAAGTGAAAGATCAAAATTGTTTGACATTTACTCGAAAGAACTCGAATTAATCTGGATGATAAGTAAGGATGGGAATTTTTGATTTGCAAAAAAAAAAAGTTTCCTCAACTATGCATAGCCTACCTAACTGCGAAAACCTTAAAACTAAAACAGTCATTAACTTTGGCACGGCTAAATTCTCACTAGCCTACACATACACAGACAAACAAAGCGTGAAAGTAGAGATCATAATAGTCACGAGTCCAAGCTACAACAAAATACAGTAGTTTCTCCTATATGGTGAACGAATATAAACAAGTCTCGTTTTCTTTGACTAAGTTGGTGGAAAGAGAATGGAATCAATTACATGTATAACTCCATTAGATGCGGTAATATCAGCATACGTTATTTCTACACCATTCACCGTAATCAGTTCTGAAAAAAACAAGAAGAATGGTAACTATATTGACAAGAATCTGCTAAATGAATATTTGTTATTTCTTTATTTAGGATCAAACCGAGCCTAAATCAAACATAACGTTATTATAGGTACTTTGATGACTTGCTTACCCCTATCGCCGGATGCAGTGGTGGTTTCTAAAGTGTCGTTGTTGACGGTCACGAGAGGCCACGTGTTGGAAAAGCCCGCTGTGTACCACGTGCCCGTCACCACGTGCGACAACACCCAGCCTGGCGGATCGAGGTGAAGTGAGTTTTCTTTTAGATCTCTCTCTCTCTCTCTCTCTCTCTCTCTCTCTCTCTCTCTCTCTCTCTCTCTCTCTCTCTCTCTCTCTCTCTCTCTCTCTCTCCTCTCTCTCTCTCTCCTCTCTCTTCTCTCTCTCTCTCTCTCTCTCTCTCTCTCTCTCTCTCTCTCTCTCTCTCTCTCTCTCTCTCTCTCTCTCTCTCTCTTTCTCTCTAACTGTCAATCATTCTCTTTCTCTCATTTTCTCTATCTATCTATCTATCTTTCTATCTTTCTATCTTTCTATCTTTCTATCTTTCTCTTTCTCTCTCTCTCTCTCTCTCTCTCTCTCTCTCTCTCTCTCTCTCTATAATATATATATATATATATATATATATATATATATATATATATATATATATATATAGGTGTGTGTATATATATATATATATATATATATATATATATATATATATATATATATATATATATATATATATACATGTATGTATATCTAATATATATAGACACACACACACACACACACACACACACACACACACACACACACACACACACACACACACACATATATATATATATATAATATATATATATATATATATATATATATATTATATATATATATATATATATATATATATATATATATATATATATATATATATATATATATATATATATATATAATATATTATATATATATATAATTTCCTTGTTTCCTTCCCTGTTTTATTTCTCTCCTGGAGGAATGAGAAAAATGCAAAATCAGGAATGAATATCTTTGTGCAATAATTCATTACCTCGCCTCGCCTGAATGCCGCCCGGGAGAGTGTAATTCCGAAGCGCCGCGTCGGAGGGGATGAAGACCGTGAGCGGACCCGATTCTGAGAGAAGTACAGGGAGAATGTATATAATGACGTTTTTTCCTTTTTTTGTTTTTCATTTCCTTAATCTTTGCAGACCTGATCTTAATCTATTAATTCTTTTTATTTGTCTCCTCTTTATTTTGTACATTGTTTGATATCTTTGTGCTGTTTCAAAGGTTCGCTTGTCATTTTGCTCTTATTAGATCAAAAGTACCTGGTCACTCTGTCATGCAAAACAGTCTACATATTACATAATGGCAAACAAAGCGAAAAATAACGAAATAACCTGAATTCTTCGGCCACTCACCCGTGAAGAGCAAGCTGAGGACCTCGTCGTCGGCAACGAGGCTGGTGAAGGTGCTGAGGACCGGAGACAGCCTGCTGGTGGTGAAGACGTTGCCGTAGGGGGCGTAGAGGACCCGGTCGATGACGTGGACGACCCCGTTGCTCCCGCGCTCGTCGAGGTCCGTGACGACGCTGCCTCCCGCCACCCAGCGCTACGGAGGCCAGGAATTAGAGGTTTAAGATTGCTTGGAAAAGTTGTGGAAATCAATTTGGAATTATACATTTAGTCTGGATTATGTGGGTTATCGTGTTATGATTAGGCATGCTGCTGATCATATAGAATAATTATACATCTAGATCTGTCAATATTTTTTTCTGGTTTCGTCTTGATTTGGTGTTTGCAAAGTTTTTTCAGCCTCCAGTCGTTTTATTAACCAGACCCCACGTACCGCCACAGGCCCGTCAGTGTAGTAAGAGAGGACCAGAGTGTATCCTGCGTGAAGTGTGGGGAGCTGTCTGCCGGGGGAGAAGGAGCCGCTGCTGGTGAACCTCCCTGGGACAAGGTGGTAAGATATCAGGCGCCGAAGGAAGGCTGGGTTGTCAGACATCTCCTGTAGCGCCTCCGACGGGATGGCTTCGATCGCCTCGTTGGTCGGGGCGAAGATCGTCCAGGGCCCTGCTGAGGGGAGGAAAATGCAATTAGGTTCGTGCTTCGAATCCGTTACTTTGAGGATTCCCACACACTTTTTGATGCCACAAAACAGCAGCGTTCGTGGCTTAGAGCCTTTTAAAAACGAACCTTCGAGACTGAGAGTGAGTGCCAACCCCGCGTGCTTCACAAGGTCTAAGAATCTGGTGAGGTTGAGTCTTTCCAGGAGTGTCAGAACCGTCAGCTGAGACCTCTCATCAGCCGCCACTGCTTCGTCGGGAGAGCACCCTCCAACGACCTCAGGAACCACAGGGACGATACCTGACCCCGGTCGAGAGGCCTCCTTCGCCCTTCCTGGAAAGCCGACCACGGAAGGTCCTCCAGACGCCGGCGGGACGCTTCCCAGCTGGCTGGGCGTGGGGTCGACGATGATAAGGAAATCGGTGTTCCCTCCTGGGGCTTCTGTGCTTCCGAAAGCAGAGGACCTGGTGACACCCGCCGGCGTTAGGCCGCCGTCGACATCGAAAGTCCTGTCCAGCATATCGAGGAAGCTTGAGAGGGCAGGACTCGAGGCTCTGTTGAGCGGCCACTGGGGACTCGTTCCGGACTGGATGTTGTTGGTTGTCGGGAAGAGGTCCGGAGGCCCGCCATATATCGCGGGACGGCGCTGGGACCCCGGGAGGGGCGCCACAGTGCTCGTCTCGGGCTCTGGGTCGAAGGCCTGGAAAGGGTCGTGATCAGGCAGGTCGTAGAGCCCCGAGATCGCGGGGATGCTCGGGACGAGGTCGCCCCCGAAGCCCAGGTTGGCGAAAACCGAAGCTTCGGTCTGGCTGAGCAGCGGGTGCGGGAGGCTGGTCGGGTCGGACCCGAGGTCAGACTCCGGGATGACGTCAGCCGACAGGTGCACCACGCCGTTCAAGGCCGTCATGTTGGACTTCAGCAAGGGGACTCCATTGGCAG